GGCGCCGGAGACGTGCTCGTGAGCGGTGCAGAGTGCTACGTCGGGCGGAACGACAATCCTTCTTTTGGTGCGTGCGTTCCGCTCGTTCCGATATACACCCTTCTCTGAACGCAAACGTAGTTGGGTCGGAGCCTCTCGAAGAGCTCGCGGATACCGTCTGGCGTGCGGTGGGCCCGTCCGGACGCAATAAGGTATGCGTAGTGAGTGCGTGAACCGCGCTCTCCCCCGCTGACGACAGCGATGCTAGGACTACGTGTATAACCTCGCTGCTGCTGTACGTGCGTTGGCGCCAGAGGCGCACGACTCGCACCTCTTTGCTCTCGAGGTATGTGCCAGTCGCTCGCGCATACATTGCGCGAACAAGGACGTGCTTACTCTACTTAAATCGGACCTCCCTCCAGGCACGTCTACGCGAGCTGGATCGCGCGTCGGCAAGCTCCGATGGGTCCGAATCGTAGAAATAAATGACTTTTTTTCATAGAGTCGTCGTGAATATCGGAGACACACAAACGAATTTTACTGCTACCATTAAACAGGGCCCGAGTGTCTGGATTCATACCATTATCGTGATATAGCGAGTCTGCGATGCCAAAAAAGGAGTCACTTTGTTTTCATGCACCACTGCACGTATCATGGATGTGGCGAATCGCACCGCACGCCCCCATATACAAGCCCCTTCGTGCCTGTGTCTCCCACTTCTAGGACCCCGGGCGATATCCCCAACAGCGGTGTTCGCTCACCGATGTTAGGACTCACCACATCTAGTCTGCGTTCCCTCTCAACGATCCTGTAACCGCCGCGAGGCCAAAATGTCATTACAACGAAAGGAGTCGAAGGACGGACGGTCAACTCACCCTCGCATGACGGCAGCGGTTGTCATGCGCTTGGCCCGCCGCTTGGACTGGTTATCTTCGTACCGGTCCGTCTCGTCGACGATCTCTTCGGCGATGATCTCTTCGATGATATCTGTGTGCGTGCTTATTAGGGCTGTCTCCTTATATTTGAGGTAGAGCCTACCTTCGAGGGTAATGACTCCGATCGCACCGCCGGAAATACCGGGGGTAATACTGATGAGCAAAAGGTGCGCACGGCCTGTCTGACTGCAGTAGGCGATGGCATGTGAATCTAACAAACGCAAAAAGCTGAGAGAGCGTACGCACAAGTAGTCCAGTGCCTGGAAGCAGTTGATGGTCGGTTTTGCTTCTGGTAGAATCGACAGGGTAAACTTTGACACGGGCCAGCATTGCGACGGGTCGTAGGTGAGTAACTGTGAAGGAAGCCTGTCAATAATTGCGGCACGTTAACCGAAACGATGCTAAGCACGACCTTCTTCACTAGCAATAACCCTGAAAAAGCTAAGGAATTTCCAGGTTCGTGAACCGGGAATCGAGAGTATCCACTGAGCAGTCTGTTTTTTAAATTTCAGCGGTCTGGCTCGAGGCGTCCATTTTGTCGCAATCTACGTACAGAGACTCGATCGTCTTTGCGTCCAAGATGGTGTCCGAACTGAGGGTGACGACATCCTGCCACGTCAACGACTGTCAGTTACCCTAAGACCTGGGCAGCGGCATCGCGCCCACCTTCATTGGAGTCATGATCTTCTCGACGCTCTTTGTATTGAGCTCCAGAACGCCATTGAGAATGCTGATTTCGTCATCTCTTAAGGGCTCTTCGCCCGTGCGGTGGAATTGTAAGAAAGACTTTAGCTCCGCCTTTTTGTACGTGTGTACGTCGCTTTTTCCGAGAACGTAGTCGAGGAGCTTGGCTATTGGCCACGCGATGGGAGCTAGAGGGCGCGTGATGAGCCACATGCGAAAAGTGGACGGAGGGATAAGAACGCTAACCAAAGAAGTACATTAGCGTGAGTACGACAGGGACACAACGGGCGCCGATTGACAGGCCATGGCGCACGCTCACAGCTTGGGGAATGATCCTGGTGTGATACTCAGCCTTTGTGAGAAAGGGTAAAGGGTAGACGTACTCTCTAGTCAACGTGGTAAAGGATTGATTTGGTAAAAATCATTCAATTGGACGGAGGTTGAGGGGGATATGCCATACCCAAAGATAACTAGATAGAAGTTCGAGAATAAGCTTTAAGTGCGCACACGTTGTTGACAGGGACCATACCAATCATCGTTGTGGAGATAACGATTGCAGCGACCCCACCACCGATCTGCGAGGTTCAGAGAAGAGCACCGTGAAAGTGGGTGGCCCGGGCTCACCGCGCCGTCGAGGAAGATGGGTAAACTCTCATTCACTATCTACATTTGCAAATCAGTTGAGGGTGGCCGAATATGCATGGAATGATACATACGACATTACCGAGTAGCAGGACCTATCATACTGAGGCGTCAGCAAAAAATGCTCAACGGAAGGAGGGCGGAACCGAATCGCTCACCACCAGCACCCAATGGCGGCCCTTGTTAAGCAATTTGAGAACTGGGGGAAATGATCGTCGCCCACAGCCCTGCCTGAGTAGATTCACCACCCACCTTCTGCCGCGTCCTTTCTTTCTTTCTCGTTCTCAGATGACGTGGAGAGCACGCGGAGGTGCAGCTCATCGAGGCCCATGAGTCCGAGGGTCAGCCTGATATGGCGCGGAGTCGAGTGTCAATGGGGCAGGTTCCCTCCCGGAGAGTGTGAAGATGGGGGAGACGTACCCCGCAAGGACTCCTCCTAGCAGTACCAAACAGGTACTAATGAGCATCTTCCACCAGAACTCAGGGGAGCCCAGTTCCTCTCCAGGGCCTACGGAAGCGATGTTCACATCAGTCACAAATGGAAACGCGCGGGGAGACTTCGGAGCGGTTAAGAGAGGCATCCGGGTCGAGGATGAAGTTGGAGGAAAGGAATGATCTTTCGACTTTTTAAGGTCTCGTTAACCACATACGCGCTCTTGGCGGTAATCACGTGATGCATGTCCCAAGACCCAAACTGGTCACGATGGTCGCGATGTCGTCCTCAGTGGCGCATGCGCAGACTACTTGCCCTGCTCCCTCGTCATCGGATTATGATGGAAACAAGACCGATGTCTTCATCGCAACCCATTCTTCAACCAGGGGACAAAAGGCCACGCTTGGAGTCGCCTCTCCCTCCGAAACGGAGCAAGAAAAAAAAAAAAAACACCAGTCGAGTCAGGCTCTTCGGAAGATGTCATATCCCGGGAAGTGGTCGCACTTCTGGGAAAGGAAGTCGTGGCAAAAGCCGAAGCAGATGGTATCGAATGGGAGTCTCCCTTCGGATTTAGGGAGGAAGTTGAGCTCACCGTATCGAGCATCTCGTCCAGCGGTATGTCTTACCCCAAGGTCTGTGCAGAGACCCTTGCTGCTGAACCACCTTCTCGTTCTATATCTGACCTATTCGACCAGGTGAAGGACTCGCCCTTTCCCCGTCCTCAAAGGGCCCATGGGTCGTCGTCGTTCCGTTCGTCCTGCCAGGAGAAGTCATTCGCGCGCGCGTTTACAGGCAGGCAAAGATGTACTCTTTCGCAGACCTCATCAGTGTTGAGGTGCCAAACCCCGAGCTGAGGGATATGAGTCGTGTCAAGTGCAAATACTTCGGGACATGTGCGGGTTGTCAGTACCAGGTGTGGCTCCCTCCACGTAACCGAGCCGAAGGTACCTAGCCCTGCTTACCATGTACCCATAGATGCTGTCATATGAGACGCAGCTTGACCTTAAGCGCAATGTTGTCGTCAAAGCTTACCAAAACTACTCAAGTTCGCTTCCTTCTACATTCTCCTGACTGGTCTAATGACGACGTGATAAGATTTACCCGAGTCGGATATTCCCGCCATACAGCCAACGATCCCCTCCCCTCTTCAATATGGCTATCGCACCAAAATCACGCCACATTTCGATCCTCCGCCGAAGAAGGTACAGAAGCAAGGCCCTTCTACCAGCGAGGAAGGGAAACCGCCTTGGTTAAAGATCGGGTTCAATCAGATCGGAAAGCGAGTTGTGATGGATATAGAGGTATGGAACGTCACCCTCACAAGTATAGTCAGATCGTAAACGCCCTCATTATAGGAATGTCCCATTGCAACCCCAGTTTTGAATGAGACTTATACTCCAATGCGCGACAATATCGTAAAGTAAGCGTCCTTAGCTAACCCATGTGTCTTGGCGCTGAATTGGTGGCACGCAGAGAGATCTATAAGTATAAAAAAGGCGTCTCTCTCTTACTCCGCGACTCGCTCGAGATACCAGGCGGCAACTCCCCCACCGCCACCACGCAGCTTGGAGTCAAGGACAGCCACGTTTGTATCACAGATCACAAAGCGACAGTCCGGGAACGCGTCGGCGATCTACTCTTCGACTACCAGGCGGGTTCTTTCTTCCAGAACAATAACTCAGTACTCGTCCCCCTCACCTCATATGTTCGCGACGCCATATTCCCGCCCACGACAGCAGATCCGCCAAATACACCACTGCCACCGCCAACCCACCTCGTAGACGCCTACTGCGGCGCGGGACTATTCGCGCTTACCCTCGCCCCGCGCTTCACCAAAGTCGCTGGCATCGAGCTCTCTGCCGACTCGATCCGCTTTGCGACGCACAACGCGGAGCTCAATGGACTCGCACACAAGGTCTCCTTCCGCGCCGGCGACGCCGCGCAGATCTTTGACGCCGTAGGCGACTTCCCCCCTGAGCGCACCGCGCTCGTCGTCGACCCACCCCGCAAGGGCTGCGATGAGGCGTTCGTGCGGCAGCTGCTTACGTTCCGCGCGCAGACGGTCGTGTATGTGAGCTGTAATGTACATACGCAGGCTAGGGACGTCGGGCAGATCGTGTCGTGGTCGGCGGAAGAGACGGTGGTGGACGGGAAGGGGAAGGGGAAATACGTCCTGGAAAGCCTTAGAGGGTTCGATCTCTTTCCACAGACAGCACACGTCGAGTCTGTTGCGGTCTTGAGGCTCGCGCCGTAAACAGTTGTGTAGGGTTTAGGAGTTCAATTACTTAAGTACAATTCATATAGTACAATTCAGAGAGACCAACGTATCGGATATGGTGTAACGGTCAACATTACCGCCTCTCAAGGTTTGCCTAGGCCGCGGTAGCTCGGGGTTCGATTCCCCGTATCCGAATTATTTTGTCGCATAGTTCCCAGTTGTTTACAAGGTTTACACCACAGCTTTTTTAATTTTAAAATCCATTAGAGTGCGGCTTGGAGTATATGGCCCTATGCGGGACTTTGACATCCCGTTTGAATTCCTGTACGATTATCTTTCACTACGGCTTCTCATCTGGATGATCTGTGCACTCAAAGAGATGGACTGCAACAACTTCAGTGGTTTCTGTGACAGAATCAGCCGTGCTATGATGACGATGGAACGGGGCTGCTAGAAATTGCTCTGCGTGCACGATGCCTCGGAGGCATGTCGACAGTGAGTGTCCAAGTAATGTGCCATGCCGACCGCCAACCAAGCTCCTCATGTAGGATCCTCAGTCTAAGTTCTATCACAACAGCTCCGTGCAAAACGCACACAGACAAGAGCACGGATGTACGTATCGTTACAAATGTAGTCTATATATAGAATATTCGTCTGGATGTCCTAGATGCGTCAAAAGAATGATTAGAACCACCGGATGGTAAAACACCAGATTATAGGGTACGCAACTAGTATATGACGCTCTCCTATTTGCCGATGTAGGACTTGACTAGCTTGACTCTTTGAACGAACTCCCATTCCTTGTCGAAGACGGTTACAGGACGACCAGCGAGCCGGCGGACGGCGACGAAGTTCTCACTAAATGACGCTGGCAACCCCTCTAAGCAAGTCAAATCAAGAGATGGCAACACTTCGGCGACCATCTCCCCCGTGATGTCTTCCAGTGCGAGAGCAACTTGCTCTGAGAGCCCCCAAGATACATGCAGCGTCTGCACGGTGGAGAAATGGTGGAAGAAGTGCAGCCATTCAACGTCGTCCGTGCTCTCTAATTCATCTCCATCGGGAAGGGCCTCGAGCTCAAGATGGACCACATTGGACAGTGTGGTAGAAAAATGGCTGAGCACCTGGGCCATGTGGGAGACTTGCCAGTCAACCCCTTCACACGAGATGGTAGTGCTAACACCGCGCCAATCCTGGCGTGGATGGTTTGGGCCATACACGTCGAAGGTGACACAGCTATCGAAAAAGGTAACTTGAACTTTGAATATAGTGAACTTGGGGCCAACTGAGCGATCGATGAACTTGGAGAGCTGTGCAGCTTGAAAGTCAACAAGCTGATTCAAGTAAACGATGGAGATCCCGTCCAGCTGAGGGCCGTCAATTTGGGAAACGAGGTCCTCCAGATACTCGCTAGCACCTACGAACCGAAAGAAAGTGAGGGCGGGAAGGACAGTCCGTGTTATGGGAGGCGGGCGGATTCGATCAGGGCGGGAAGTAGCCGATTGGAATTCAACAGTAAAGTCTTGGAGCCTGGGCAACGCGGCCAGACCCACGACCATCTCCTTGGGCGAAATGTAACCAGTCGGGGGTATGTTGTGAAGGCTGAGCTCGACGAGGTCACTTGTTGACAAAAGGAGCGTTTGCAATGTCGGATAAGGAATGCCGGATAAGACGATGGACCGTAAGGATGGCGCAGATCCTCCCAAGAACTCACAGGGTAGGGCCGGTGCATTTCCGTACATCAAGAAAATGTCGAGACGCGTCAATATCGGAAATGGCTCCTGCATCACCGCGGTCATCTTTTCCAACTGCGAGCTCATTACGTCAAGCTTGAGATAATGCACGCGATCGGGTTGCTCGAGTGCAGTGATAACATTGTCTTCGTCGTCAGGCGTAATGCCCCTCCAATCATGGCTATAATCGATAACTATAGGAAGGGCTGGCCAAATACCCAGGTTTTTCCTGACAGGGGTTCTGTATGTGCAGAGGATTTGGAGATTGAGACGGTGTGGTGACTCAAATATGACCTGTCGCCATCTTCGACATACATGCACAAGGAGGCGCCATCTCCATACATTGATGTCTTGAAGATTCTCTTGACATAAGTCTAATATTTCAAGAAGGACATTGTCTGGGAGTATCCCGATTGCCGCGCCGTGTCTGTAACTTTTGCCTGAGCCACACAAAGTCAGTGCTTGCTGCAGTCTCAACGGGGGTGCTGAAAGGCGCACCTTTCCGGTAAGCGCTTAAATTCTTTCGCTTCTTGCGGCGAACAGCCTTTCTAATATATGTTGTGGCACCAGAGGACGGACCATCCGGTAGGGAGAGCGGGCGAGCACTGATGGAAAATTAACAGTGATACTCAGTCAATGGCGGGCAGCCTGAGTGGCTTCCCGCCCGCCATCGGACACACCTGTCAGTGAGAGAGCCGATCGACAGAAGCAGTTCAGCAAAACTCGGCAGAAAGACTGGAGAATGGCTGATTGGAGATTAGGGGTATCGGTCGATTAATCTAGTGATATCGCAAAGAAAGACTTAAGACAAACCTCTGAGTGTCCATTGATAACGTTGATAAAGAACTAGGCCTGTGGAAGGAACTACTCTTATACTAGCGCCAGCGCCACGAGTCGTAATCCTGTTCAGCCGCTACATAGCGCAGTGCAGCCTATGCACGGGGCAGTGAGGGCATATTTGCTTCGTGCTCTGAGAATTAGGGAACGTGTCCATAACACCGCCATACTGAGGCCGGTGGAGTCCACCAGTACTAGTGAATCCTTGAGTCAGTGACGGATTCGTTCACGCCATGAGATTTTCAAGAAATCAAGCTATCAAGATATATCAAGGGATGTCAAGGTGGCCGGTGACTAGTAAGCAAGCGTATTTGATGGCTAAAGTCGCAATGCGCTCTCTGAACATCTATTGAGTATTCGCCTCCTCCATGACACCCCGAGCACGACTCCAAGTCCGTGAGCACCTCCGTCTCCACTTTTTGGTGTCACGTATGTCGTGTTGTAGTTCTTGGTTATGCCTGCCAGTGCTGGTGTAGAACCCGGTTGTGCCATGCTGTCATTGACGGCGAACAACACTCTTGGTGTCCAAAACCAATCATGACAAGTCCGTTGTAAAATTCGTACAGATTTGTGTATCGTGGCAAATCTACTAAAGCAATGTATGCATGCGTATGCTCGTCTCCTGAATGCGTCAGGGATGGTTAGATTGTAAAACCTCAGGCCGTAGAGTACACAACTGGTACTAGGGGACATTCACTTTTTCATCAACGTAGAAGGACCCAAGTTTTTCATCAAATCCCGTTTCTGTTTCGATGACGATTACAGGGCGACCATAGAGTTGGCGGACGGCAACGAACTTCTCAACTGATGATGCCGGTTGGCCCTCTAAGTAAATCGACTCAAGGGATGGCAACGCTTCGGCAACCGTCTCCCCCGTAATGTCTTCCAGGGCAAGAGCGACGTGCCTTGCGATTGGATGAGATACACGCAGCACCTTCACAGTGGAGAATTGGCGGAGGAAGTGCAGCCATTCAACGTCGTCCCTACCTTCTGGATGGTCTTCCTCGAGCTGAGCCTCGAGATCGAGATGAACCACATTGGAGAGTATAGCGGAAAAATGGCCGAGCATCTGGGCCATGTGGAAAACTTGCCAATCAATCCCATCGCATGAGATGACAGTCGTAGCGGAGCGCCGGTGATCCGAAGATGGATGGTTTGCAGAACGATACATGGTGAAAGTAGTCCAGCCGCTGATAAATCCAACTTGCGCGTGCTTGTATAGAGTTAACTCAGGGCCTAATGAGCGATCGATGAACTTGGAGAGGTGCGCAACTTGAAGGTCAACAATCTGATTCAAGTAATGTATGTAGAGCCGGTCCAGTTGGGGGGCGTCGATTCGGGCAACAAGGTCCTCCACATACTCGTTAGCACCCTTAAATTCAAAGGAGGTGAGAGCAGGAAGGGTAGTGCGTGTTATGGGAGGCGGGTGCACTCGATCCGGGCGGGGGGTAGCTAATTGGAATCCAATAGTAAATTTCTGGAGACTGGGTAACCCTGCAAGGCACGCGACCATCACGTCGGGTGGGATGTAACCAGTCGGGGGTATATTAAAAAGGTGGAGCTTGACGAGGTCACTACTAGACAAAAGAAGCGATGGCAATGTCGGAAGGGGAATGCCGTGGAGATGGATTTCCTGTAAACATGATGCAGATCCCCCAAGGAATTCACCGGGAAAGGCCGGTGCATTTCCGTCCTTCGAGACAACGTGGAGATGCGTCAGCACCGGAAATGGCTGCTGCATCACCTTAGCGATCTTTCCCAACTGTGGGTTTGTTATATCAAGCCCGACATAACATACACGATCTGGGTGCTCCAGTGCAGCGATGGCATCGTCTTCATCATCAAGTGTCAAGTGTCTCCTTGAATAGCGATAGTCCATAACGATGGGAAAGGGTGGCCAGATGCCGAGATTCTTCCTGACAGGGGTCCCATATGTGCAAAGAATTTTGAGATTGAGACGGCGTGGTGATGCAAATACAACTTGTCGCCATCTTTGACATACATGCGCAGGTATGCGCCATTTCCACACAAGATGGAGGACGCTGTTGTGATTCTTTCGATAGAAATCGAATATTTCGAGCAAGACATCGTCTGGGAGGATACTGGCTGTTATTGTGGGTCTGTGACTCTCGTCTGTGTCGCGCAAAGTCAGAACTCGTTGCAGTCACCACGGGGTGCTAAGGACGCACCTTGACTACGTATTGACTTCCTTCCTTTCTCGTGGCGACCTTGAGCAGTCTCATTGATATGTGAGGCATCGTCAGAGGATGGATCACTGGCACCAGGGAGGGAGAACAGACAAATATTAATTGAAGATCAGCGACGGTGAGTACGTGAGTACTTAGTCAATTGGCTGACGGGGAAGGAAGGTACTGGACATACCTAGGAGAGTCAATCGATAGAAGTGGTCCAGCAGAACTTGGAAGGGAAACTGGACATTCGCTGATCGGTCCGATCGGAGAGTGGTAGTGAGAATGTCCCGGTCAATTAGTTGAGTAATATGGCAAACGAAGGTTTACAGCAAGCAGACCTCTGAGTATCCATCGGTAATGCAGATAAAGAACAGCTTTACGGACGAAGCCCCACCGGCTCTACATGTCGTAATCCTGTTCAGCTGCTGCCGAC